AAAAACAAAACAAAGAAAAACAAAAAAAAGGGGTTAAACCGCCGTTTTTTGGGGTCTGTCCGCGCCGACTCACCGAGACTTTACTGCCCAGGCTCCGGTCCAGGTCCAGGTCCGGGTGGGGGGGCTCGTCTCCGCGGTGGACGGGGGTGCTGCTTCTGTCGGGGGGTGCCGGCTCGGCCACCTGCACCACGTGGTCGCTGCCGCATTCTGGACAAAGGTGGCAGTTCCCTTCGAGGGAATAAGAAACAAAAACGAGAGTGAAAAGTGGCTCTCCTCACACAAAAGCTGCCGAAATTCCTCTTTTGTCATCCAGTCTTACTTTAAAGTTCTTAACTCATTGACTGCCAGCCATTTTCAGAACAGAGAGTCGCTCACTGCCAGAGTTTTTTGAGAATTTTGACTGATTTTTCAAGAGCCACAGAATAGTTTGTGCTATGACTATGTAAACACCGAACACACCAAAAGAAAGAGTAGACTCTCTTCTTTCATCAGGAAAAAAGATTTTGTTTCTACCTCATTCCGTTCTTCTTCGACGTGCGTCTCACCGGCGCCATTTCTCTCATAGCGAACTATTGCGTTTGTTTTTATTTGCTTACAATCTATGCTAATCTCCCATCAAAAGTGGCACAGCTACCTAGAGGGTAAATTTGTTAGTCCATACTCTGTCTAGAAGCCGATATTTACGGGAAAACTTTCGCCGATCGTCCCCCAAGCCACTCGCATTGAAAAACATAAAAGACGTCTATAGACGTCTTTGGCAGTCAGCGGTTGGATTTGAAAAGACGTCTATAGACGTCTTTGGCAGCGAATGAGTTAAGTTTTTCATACTCTCAGTAGCTTTACAGTTAAAATATAGGAAATATTGCTACAATATATGGATTCAGAAAGTCAGGGACATATACCAAATGGAACAGATAACATATTCTCTGAGACTACAAATACCCATATTCAATAAACGTTGGAGACCTGTCGTTCCACTAATTATGCAATAAGGTTTTTTTTGTTTTGTTTTTTTCTCACACTCTTGAAATATATATATATTGATTGAAAATCAGAGCATTTCTGTATCTTCTTTTAGAGCCTTCTTACAAAATAATTAAACTTTTATTGAGGCCTCTTAAGCTTTCAGTGATTTTTATAGCCACTAAATAAAGGATTGTAAGAGTAGATCCCTTTGTGTGGAGGCTTTCCATTTATATATCATAACAGGTGACAGTTTCCTTCGAGGAAGGAAGAAAAAAACGAGAGAGATAATTGCTCTCCTCACACAAAAGCTGTCGAATTTCCTCTTTTGTCGTCCGGTTTTGCTCGAAAGTTCTCAAGTTTTTCATACTCTCAGTTTGTTTACTCTTAAAATATTGAAAAATCTGCTTATATACGGAATATAATATATATATATATTGATTGAAAATCAGAGCACTTCTGTGTCATCTTTTAGATCCTTCTTATAAAATAATTCAACTTTAATGAGGCGCTTTAAGCTTTCAGTGATTTTTATAGCCCCTAAATAAAGGATTGTAAGAGTAGATCCCTTTGTGTGGAGGCTTTCCATTTATGTATCATAATATGAAAATAAATCCTCAACGCGCCCACAAAGACATTCCTGAATTAATATCAAATGACGGGCGTTTTTTTTTGTCTGTCTGCGTTTCTTTTCGTCTTAAAAGATAACCCCGAGGGGGCTTAAAAAAACAAACAAACTTGGAAGCTTCGGGCACGTGGCGAAAATTTCAGAACACGACTTTTTGGCTCGCCAAATAAAAGGGCTTTGTAATTACGAGAAAAAAACACAGAAAACATCTGTCGGTGCGTGCCCGAGCGGGTTCCCCTTAATGTCGGGTTTTTTCTGCTTCGGAACGCCGGGAGCCGGAACGCCGAGGCGAAGGGGGGTGTTTATCTGTCTCCTGCTGATTACAGAGATGGGAAACTGGGCGGGAACAGGGGCAGCTTGAGGGAATAAAAGATAAGTCCTGGGACACTTTGCCTGACTCCGAATACCTGCGCACGGACGACCGATGGCGCGTTCTGACGTCAAACAAACTTTTTTCGCTCGTGGGAGGCGACCTTGCCTCGGGGTCTTATCTTATGGGTTTGAGCCACAAAGCCGGCTGACACGATTGAAAAATGAGGGCGAGGCGAAGAAAGAAAAGCTACACTTGTGGAGACGGATAATGTGGTGTGACTCGTGGGAGAAAAGTGTGTGTGACTCGTTGTCAGGGATGAATGTAACTCAAGACCAATGTGTGTGTGTGGGATTATCTAAACAATACAAAATCTAGGGGTGTTGATGGGGCTTCTTAAATATCATACTTTATACATATTTTGCATTCAGTGGCTCTGTCTGTGGTCCATAGATCCATGTGGGATGTGCACTTAACTTTTTATAACTTGTTATAACTAACAAATCATTTTCAGTTTTTCTTCCCCCCAAAAGGTAGTGGTCAGTTTAAAAAAAACTTATAACACCTCAGTTTTGAGTGGAAAAACATCCGAAATCAAACGCAGTGTGCTCTAGAAGACCTACAGGTGGTACCAATATTGATAAAACATCAATAAATTCATGAGAAATGTTCAAGTTTGATCTGTAAAGGATGCAGAGGGACACGTTTCCGTAAAAATTAAAAGTAATCCCGTGAAGGTAAACCTAAAAAATGACCAGGGGGAGAGAATTTAGGGTAAAAAACGACCAGTAGACGGGACAAGGGGGTTAAATGCCTGTTAAAAGGAAGTTTTTCCTTGCCTGTGTCGCCTAGTGCTTGCTCATGGTGGGAATTGTTGGGTTTCTGTAATTAACTTCAGAGTAGGGTCTGACCTGCTCTGTTTGGAAAGCGCTGTGAGATGACTGTTGTTGTGATGTGGCGCTGTATAAATAAAATTGAATTGAATTAAATATGGATGTTTGTGATGTCAAAAACTCCATTTCGGGATCACATTATTGAACTAATCCGTTCAAAATGTAGAGTAAACAGGCGCCCTTTTCAACGCCGTACGTGGTTATTTCTCCATTCACCGGGGGTCGTTAATCACAGGAAACTTCAATCTCCTTCACTTGTGCGAAAGAAAGTGGAATTAGTGACGGTATGTGGCTGCTCTGATCAAACATCGAGCGTGAATGGAAGATTTCTGCTTGGGCAGAACTTTGCCCACACCTCGAGTAGGGGTGAAAGGGTTTGAAAGAACAGATTAATGTCTTTTCAGAGAAAGAGAAATGTTGTTTGGAGCCGGTTATGTAATATTTTCCCTCGCTGGTTGACGGGATAAAATCTAATACAAGCCAGATATGATTGGATATCGCTTCGGTTTAAGCGTTTTATCAAATAATTAAATATAAAAAGGCGTCATAGGTTGAGGTAGTTTAGCCCAGTGTTTTTCAACTTTTTTTGAGCCAAGGTACATTTTTTCATTGGAAAAAATCACGAGGCACACCAACAACCAAAAATGTCAAACAAATCTGTAGCCGCCTATAGTAACTTACCTTAAGTGTCTCGAATAGGAATCAAATAAACACAAAAATGTATTTTCATCATATTACATATTTCTTATCTCGAATTGCTCTTAACATGTCCACTTCAATATACAAAATTATATACAAAATCTAGTCAGGAAGGAATTATTACATGATTAAGCCACCAGTCACTCGAACAGCACAGACACTCAAAAATGGCATATTATTTCCGGATTATTAATTCCTTATCAAACAATCTTTTTAGACCAATTAGGTGAAATAGGATGATTTTCTACGGCACACCCGACCATCACTCGCGGCACAGTGGTTGAAAAACACTGGTTTAGCCGAATAATGGATTAGAACGTGGCGGCCATCTTGTTTAATGGTTCTCACCTTTGTTATCGTAGTCGGCCTCCGTCAGTTCCTCTCCGCCCGGTTCTTCCTCGGCCTCCGGCATCATGGCCGCCCCCCTCCTCCTCCCGGCATCGCCTTTCTGGTCCCCGAACTCCGCCTGGCAGCGGAGGCACTGCAGGCGGAAGCGGCCGGGGGCCAGGCGGCGGCGCCGGTTGTCGTCCGCCACGCGGGCCAGCACCTCCGTCAGGTCCTGGGGGGGGGGGACAAACGCCATTTTCAAATTACAGCTTCTTTAAAATGACTTCAAAGTCAGAAAATGGTCAAATTTTGCCTTTTTTCCCCAGGTTTTTTTCTTATTTTTTTTTCTTTTTTCTTTTTCTTTTGTGAAACTTTCAGGGAACGCATAATCTACTACAACTATTTTTTATTTTATTTTGTGATAGTTACTTTCAGGGAACGTATAATCTACCACAACTATTTTTTATTTTATTTTGTGATAGTTACTTTCAGGGAACGTATAATCTACTACAACTATTTTTTTGTGTGTAACACACAAAGTTAAGTAAATTACATCGAACAACTTTGAACAAACTAATTGTGACTTACATGAAAAGGCAAAAAATAAATGAATAAAATGTCCACCAACCAATTTTGAAGTAAAGTGTGAGGGGTACATTAATCCTTAGATACTACAAAACATTCAAATAAAATAAAATAAAATAAATAACAGCATTGCATGGTCATCCAATCCTTACTTCTGTCTTTTCAAGACCGGCATATTTAACCCGCCTGGTCCCATTTTTAAGTGAATATGTTTTTTTTAAGTCGGAAGGAAAAGGTGATCCTTTCCATGAGGTAAATTTAATTTAAAATAGCTTATCCAGTCCTGTATTGTGGGTGGATCGGGGGAACGACCGACGTCTTGCGAGTGCTTTTTTTACCAGCGGTTATCAAAATATCAAGTATTCATCAGATTTCCTGACCTGTAAATTAAAATTTCCCTAAAAAAATAATGTCTAAAACTGCATAGGTAGATTAGTACCTGAAGGAATCTAAAAAATTCAGTTCGGTCCAGGTTATGGTCTTCCTACAACCTATCAAAGCTTTGAAAATTGTCCCTTTTTCTGTAAGGGAATAGTATGCCGTTATCCCTTTCGAAAAGCCATGATTTAAATCCTTTATCTATTACGTTAGCCCCTAAACTCCGGATCATAAGCACGCCGTTCCCTGTTTTTTTTTAAAGTTCTATCTACAACAGATATGAAGTTGCATAACAGGCGGGGACCCAAATCGTAAACACGGTACAGGATGTACTCCAAGCAAAATTTAAAAAAAAAGAGGAGGTAGCTTATAGAGCGTGACCAGGCTTGCGTGGAAACGGGCTTTTTTGCTCCGTCGTTTTGTGATCTGCCGATCGTGCGAATCGAGCCCGCGGGCGAGCTTTTGCGAGGGCTTTTCGCCTCCTTTTTTTCTCTTTCCTCATCCAGTGTGTGTGCGCGAGGCAAACAAACCTGCGCTGCCTGCTGGGGGTCGTCGTCCAGCAGGACGTAGCGTCTCATTCGTTTGGCCTTGCTGATGTAATCGAAGTGGAGCTCCACGGCCGGAAGCGTCGTCTCTGTCTCCGTCTCCTAACGGGGACAGATCAGATTCAAATAATGCGTTTTTTTCTTATTTAGATGAACTGAATTGAATTGATAAAATGCATAATTAACTCATTGACTGCCAGCCATTTTCAGAACAGAGAGTCCCATACTGCCAGTTTTTTTAGCATTTTGACTGATTTTTCAAGAGCCACAGAATAGTTTGCACTATGACTATGTAAACACCAAACACACCGAAAGAAAGAGTGGACTCTCTTCTTTCATCAGGAAAAAAAAAATTGTTTCTACCTTATTCCGTTCTTCCTCGACTTGCGTCTCACCGGCGCCATTTCTCGCATAGCGAAGCATTACGTTTTTCTTATTTGCCTACAGTCTATGCTCATCTCCCATCAAAAGTGGCACTGCCCCCTAGAGGGTCAATTTGTTAGTAGATACTCTGTCTAGAAGCCTGATATTTACGGGCAAGCTTTAGCAGATCGTCCCCCAAGCCACTCGCGTTGAAAAACATAAAAGACGTCTATAGATGTCTTTGGCAGTCAACGGTTGTATTTGAATTGACGTCTATAGACGTCTTTGGCAGCCAATGACTTAAGAGAGGGACTTTCTCCAGCAAGAGCAGGAGCTCATTTTGTTTATAAACCCACTGGTTTGCCTTCTGTCCATTCCTTTAAATCCTTCCTTTTTAAAAGTACCAATAAAGCTGAAAATGTACAGGTAGTCGTCCATTCAAACCTAAATCAACATGTCCATCTCGCTTCTTTTCCCGTCTGTTTGGGTTTCTCCTTCCGGAGTTTTGTACAGAGTATTTACTACCCAAAAATTCCACGAGAAACGTGGAGAAACTTTCTATTTCAGCGTATTTTTGACGCCACAACGTTTCCTAGAACTCCAGACGTTTACCTTTTTTAAGTCAATTAACGCCCGGCTTGGAGTTTCAAAAGATTTAGTGCCATTTTTAGGTCCAGGTTTTAGGGCCCTCTTACCCCCCGGGTCCACGCCGCCTCCGTGCTCTCCGCCCGGGTCAGGCTGTCCAGCTCCAGGCGGCGCCTCTCCCGGCCGTGCTGCGTGTCCACCTCCAGCAGCAGGCCCTGCTTGACCCGCAGGAACACCTCCTGCCGCTCCTCCTCGCCGCCCCCCCCCGGCCCTCCGCCGTCTCCCTCCTGGTCGGGCGGCACCCCGACGAGCAGGGGGTGACACAGGTCCACTGAAATCGGGAAAATAGAACGGGTTTTCTTTTAAAAAAAACGTCCGTTTTGACTTATTTTTTTAAACTCATTGACTGCCAAAGACGTCTATAGACGTCAATTCAAATACAACCGTTCTTGAAAAATCAGTCAAAATGCTCAAAAAACTCTGGCAGTATGGGACTCTCTGTTCTGAAAATGGCTGGCAGTCCATGAGTTAAAGAAAACGGGTTTTCTTTAAAAAAAAAAAAAAATAATTAAAACGGCCGTTTTTTTTTTTTAAAGAAAACCCGGTTTTCCGTGACCGGGATCTACCTCCTAGGTCCTCGTCTTCCTCCTGGGGGGCGTCTCCGCTCTGGGAGTCGGGGCTGGACGGCGGGGCGCCCGCCTCCTCTTCCTCCGGCCCGACGGTGACCGCCTCGCCGCCGTCCAGGGTGGACTCCGTTGTCTGGCCGACGTGGTCGGGCCACTGGAGGGTGGAGTCCGCTTCCGGGTCGGCCGGGGGAGACGACGGGGGGGAGGCGGAGGCGTCCGGACCGTTGGATGTTCCTTGAGAGCGGGCGGCCTGTTGGCTGGAACCGGTCACGATGACCGGGGGTCCTCCGTCTAGGTGGTGCTGGTACCTGAGCCAGTCTTCCCCCAGTTGCTCCCTGAAGCTGGACATGCGCTCGATCTCCTGCTGGTGGGGGAGAGCGATGCCTGGACGGAAGATGGGACGCAAAACTTTTTACCGTGCACCTGTACTGTACTGTACTCTGTCTGATTCTACTGCCTACACTAGCCAACATGCACTTTTAACATGGATGTTTTAAATGAGTATTTAGTATCCAGTGTTCTAGTGCTTTTTATACCCTATGTAATGTTGATCTGATAGTTGTTTTAATTTAGTATTCTAGTGATTTTGTAAGATACTGTGTGAACTGTCCGTCTATCTATCTATCTATCTATCTATCTATCTATCTATCTATCTATCTAATGGAGGAAAGGGGATGTTAGGTGACGTTACGGGGGACACACCCTGTGCGGAGGAAAGAGCTCGGGCATCATAGTCCGTGTCGCTGGGCTCGGATATGCTGGCCCTCCTCACTTTCACCTTACTCTGAAACGCAAACAAGGAACGGGGCGGCGTTATCAGAACCCCCACCGAATCAGATTTTTAATCTAACCGGACAACCTGAAACGACGCCCCATACCCTGGATTTCCTCTTGCGGAGGCGGGACACCGCCACCTCTCCCACGGAGAGGCTGTCGCTCAGCTCCCCGGCCCCGCTGGACAATTCCGGATTGTTCCGTGGCGCCGGGAAGCCGGACGCCGGCGGGGGCTGCTCGGGCATGAGACGCTGGCCCGATTTTGGCAGAACCTGCGGAGAAAATAAAAACAAATACAAAAATCAACACCGCAAAAACACAGAGAAAAAAAAATGGAAAAAACCTGGGAATCATCGGCATGTCGTCCCACTTCTGGGCTTAATTGGTATTCACAGGTCAATTCAAATGAAAATACCTTTGAGGGGTTAGATTATTTTTGATAAATCACACCCATAAAGCCAAGAATAACAAAAAAACGATTATTGGCATTTGTGTTGCGACTTTAAAGAAGATTGCTGAAAAAAAGAAGAATAAAATGGCTTGGCAGTGTGCGATTTTCATTGATAAAATACATCAAACCGCTTAAAAGGTTCAGCTGTGCGAGCAGGAATTAAAAAAAAAAAAGTAAAACGTGTCACCGGGTGATTCGAAAACCAGTTTGGAGGTCGGTTGATTGTTTTTCGGCTGGAAAAACAATCGAAAGCCCACATCCAACAGACAAAAAGGACGTTCGAAAAGAGAAAAATGGACTGTTCTGAACTGCCCGTGGGCCGAAAAACCTTCGGAGAGAGCTGGAAATCTCACGGATTGACTCGGGCAAATAGGGGGAGTAACTCGATTCCAATATTACTTAAATGTTGCAAACTCCTTCTTTCCCAGCTACCTCCTCCGGCTCCTTTCGGAGTGACGTTGATCTTGTGAAATTTGGAGGATTTGGGCTTCTCCTCCCCTAATTTTTTCGGACAGGATTACGTGGCGGTCGGCATCTTTCTATAACCCAGCCAAACGTTAGACGATCCTGAAAAGGAACTTACGGATATCTCAGACGAGGACAGCTGGATCCCATCGAGTTTTAGCTGGAAAGACACAGAGAATTAGGCCTCGTGACGCCGGAGAAAAACGTGACATGATTGTTAAAATGTGTTAAGAAAGTCCGCCGAGGGCAGCTGAAAGTGTTTTGAACCGAGTATGAAACAAGGCGAAGAGAAGAAAGAAGATCTAAAGTGGAAATCGAAGCCTTTCAGATGTAAATTAGCAACTATGCTACAATCTGGCTCATTTAGAATCTGTACAGAAGTATAAGATTGTTCAATAATGTGCACTGTCCTGATTAAATAAATAAATAAATAAATAAAGATGAGATTCTAGCGTAACTTTCAGAGTTCATGTTTTATACGTCTTTTCTCAATTAATTTACTGTGAACCTTTTTTTTTAATTTTTTTTTTTTTACTGCTTATAAACCAAGATCACAAATCTTTTCTGTTGTGCCTCTTTATTGAACTTGTTTCCAACACATTAACATTAACATTATCCACCTACGTTTGTAATATATTGCAAAATGGACCCCTTATTTTTTTTTTTTCTTTTTTTTTTTGTAAAGCCAGAAATTCTGCCTGGCACATTTGGACTTTTAGTAAGGACAACCAAACGTGTGACTTCTGAAACTGAGTCAGACTGACCCAAACTGTGTTTCGGATTCCATGCCTTAGCTACAGTCGAGAAAGTTCCCCCCTTGATTTTGTGATTTTGTTGGTCGGTGTGGACTTACTCGGTGGCCGGCGGCCTTCGGGGAGAGATGAGGGACGGTGCTGAGGCGGTGCGTTCTCTGGAAGAACAGCGGGTTCCCCTCCAGATTCAACTACGACGACATACCGTATCAAACATGTAGTGACTGTAGAACTGTTTGTATGATGCTTCCAGTTTTAAAAAAAACACGACATTTAAATGTGTGTCCTTACTGTGGTGAGGCAGTGCAGCATGGAGAGAGGAGCCAGCTGGGAGTGCTCCAAGAGAAGATTATAGGCCAGGTCTAAGTGCTGGAGCGAAGATAACTGCTCCACACCTGCGGCGGAGGACAGCGTAAAATAAACAAACTCACACGGCAGACATAATAAGCGGGCAGGTGTGTAAACCTCTGGTATCTACGGTGGGAGCGGAAGAACATCCAAAACAAAAACAAAAAAGCTGCTTTATTCTCTTTATTCTTGTCTTATGGGGTCTTACTACCAATCGATACCCAGAGATGTTCAGTAACGAAGTAGAACTACTTGAGTACTGTACTTAAGTACCAAAATGCAGTATCTGTACTTCATTGGAGTAGATATTTTTTCCCCTTACTTTTACTTTTACTCCACTACATATTGTTGATTATTACAATACTTTTACTCCGATCGATTTTTCACGGGCTGAATCGTTACTCGTTACTGAAATGTAAACGGAATGATAGATAGCTCTGTCAGGGTTTGGGAAGCTGGCTCCTCATTTGAGCGATTTGAACGATCAAGCATAGCCTATAAAAAAAGCCTCCCGAAAGATTGTTAATTATGGAAGCATATCAAGGTAAGTTAAAAAATACAATGATATATAAGGTAGTAAATAAGCGCTAGTTCAGTTCTCCCTGTTCACTCAGCTAACGTTAACTAAAGCTAACCTAGCTGGCTAGCTGTATGATAACGTTAGCTAAAGCTAACCTAGCTGGCTAGCTGTATGATAACGTTAGTTAAAGCTAACCTAGCGGGCTAGCTGTATGCTACATGCTAGCATAAAGGCTCAGCTCAGGATTCTGACTCTGGTATAATAAATAATAGTAGATGAAGTGCTGTTGGTTGCTAATGCAGATATAGTTTTCTGTTTTTCGTAAACACCTGTATGGCCTTTCACATGTTTGAAATAGTATAAACAATATCTATTACATTTTTGACCGCCTTTTTTAAATATACACAGTACTTGTACTTTTACTTATACTGGTACTTTCGATCCTTGAGTAGCAATTTTTGAAATACTTCTACTTGCAATACTTAGGTACAAAAAAGTCTGGTGTTGAAAGAATACTTCTACTTTTACTCAAGTAAAAATTTTTTTACATAATACTTGTACTTCTACTCCACTCCTCTACTCCAGTACTTTAAACGTCCCTGTCGATACCTGGAGATGGGGTTCTGATTTGGATGTGTGATCTGACCGCGGACTAGAGGAAAAACTTCGGAAACTCCCCTGGGGGGGGGCCACGTTACCGTTAATGGTCTCCAGCTCGTTATTCCGGAGGACGAGCGTGAGGAGCGTGGCCCTGGCGCCCGGGCCAAGCGTGGGCGCCCTCTGCAGGCAGTTGTAACCCAGGTTCAAGTGTTCCAGGTCGCTCAGGGGCTGGGGGGGGGGGGGGGGGGGGGCATAAAACGAAAGGGGTGGGGAAGTTACTTTAAAAATGTATTCCATTACAGTTACAAGTTACCTTGTCTAAAATGTAATTGTAGTGTAACTTTTTCGATTACTTTTCAAAAGTAATGTGACTAATTACTTTTGATTACTTTTTGATCACTTTGAGGTTTTAATGAGTATTGACCCATGATTACTTTTAGCATGTTATTATTAGCTATTGGCCGCAGCTAGCAGTTCAAGGCTAACGTCTTGTTAATGATCATAAACAACGTAAATAAATACGTCAATAAATCGGAGACAAGGGGCGCAGCGATGGTAGGTCAGCGTCGCGCGTGCATCGATACTTTTTAAAACGAGCATCGTATCCGGATACAACATTTTAGTATCGATACTTTTTTTAAGTATCGATACTTTTGACAACCCTAGTCTGAAATGTGGGACATGTCCGGGAAAAAGAGGACGTCTGGTCACCCTACAGTTGGGTAGGCTAGGTAGTCTAGGCTAGGTCATAGACATCGATAAACGTTTGTCATGCATCGACACCAAACAGTCAAATATTAGTAAATCAATACGCTTCGTCTATCAGTGAGTTGCATATTTTTGCAAAGGTTTTTCTTTATATATATTTTTTAAATGTAACTAATTTTGTAATTCTTAATATTTTCGGAAGTAAATGTAACTGAATTACATGTTTTCTCATTGTAACTGTAACGAATTACAGTTACCCTTTTTTTGTAATTAAATTACGTAACGTTGTCACATGTAATCCGTTACTCCCCAACGCTGTTAACGACAGTGAAGGGACGAGACGGGAAAGACTTGGGCCAAATCGAGGCCGAAATCGAACGCCCACCTTCAGGAATTCGGCGCACTCCTGGATCTTGTTGTGGCTCAGGTCCAGAGACTTGAGGACGTTCAGTAAACTCTACGTAGAGAGAGACAGGAGCGCAAAAAAAAAGAGGTTTACAAACAGGCGGAGAAGCACCAGGGTCAGGGCTTTGTCTCTTTCGTCTCACTAGTGACTGGTCGAGGCAGACGATGGAGTTGTAGCTGAAGTTCAGGGTGTGCAGTTCAAGCCAAGGCAGAGCCGAGCTGAGATCTCCTCCGCATAGGGAAAGCAGCTCCTGAAAATACAGGAAAAGATGCCCATGATTGAATTTAGTCAAGATACACTGTTAATGTACCTATTCCCGGAATGACCAATTTCGATTACCTCCAGGGAGCTGAGGCTCTTAGAGCAAGTAAAGACCTCCAGCTGGGAATAGACTCCTCTGAGTCCCTCCAAGAGGTGCGGGGGGATTCTCTTAAGCTAAAGAGGAAGAAACAAACAGGAAAAGGTACTGTCAGAGCTTTAGTGTGTGTTCTTCCCAAAAGGCCGATGCGAGATGAAAAAAAAATATGTATTACCTCCAAACACTTGAGGGACTTGAAAGGGAAGATTTTCACGGCAGACTGGAGTCTCAGTCCAGGTGGGTTCATGAGCTGTATTCAACCATTAGGACACACAAAACACATCCTTTTAGATCCAGTTTAGGCTGTTTGTTAAATGGCGAAACGCAGCCCCCGAAGAGCTGTCCATACAAGTAAATCAGGCCGAAATGAGAAGATATACAAGTCAGCATGAGCCTGGAAAAAGCTGGGCAGCTTTTTCCTTTTCATTATTTACCCAGTTTTTTTTTTTTTATTGCGATCATTTTTTAGGATAACTTCAACACAATTGCTTGTCCTTTTTCGGGAATTGTGTCCCTAGGCACGCTTGGTCGATCAAACAAATGTAAAGATTCCTCATGAATTTATTGGTGTTTTATGGATACTAATACCAGCTGTTACATGGACCTTCATGGGGATACAATAAACGGAGAAACGTGCCTTCGATTATTTTTCATTTCAATAAAACTACTTGAAATTACTTGATTTCTGATATTTTTTCCACACTCGTAATAGTAAAGCTTGTTTTCTTTGTTTATGAAAATAATCGTTATTTCAAGTAAAGATGAAAAATACATATCAGTGATTTGGTCATTTGGCATAAATAGGGGAAAAAATAGATACATTTTTAGTTTTTTTTTCCCAAGATATTTAAAAAACATCAGAATCTTTGAGGTCTTTTTTTGACCGGAGAGCGATATTTGCTTGGCTGACCATGGGTCACAGCATGGGCCCCCATAACCTATCAAACATGGACAGACAGTCGCCATTGAAAGCAAATTCTATATAAATACAACATACTTTTATTTAAAAACAAGCTTAAGGGTAGCAGAAGCCCCTACGGCCACCCCTGTGTCACAACATCGTAATCGGACGAAATTGATTCCTTCCAGAGGATTCCGGGAGCTTACTTTAAGGGAGACGGTCTTCTGCAGGATGTCGAAGAGGAACTGCAGCTGCAGCAGGGAGGCGGTGTCGGCCGGGTGGGAGGGGAGCGCCAGGAAGCCGTGCTGCTGGCTCCGGGGCAGCAGGTACTGCTCGAAGAGCCGGGTGAGCTGCTGCAGGTGGGCAGCGGGCAGGGTCAGCGTGCTCCTGCCGTCCAGCACCACGTCGCCTGGGAAAAAAAACAGCGGCAGACAGTTCGAATACGCAGGGAAATTAGTGTCGAATTATGATGCGAAACCCAAAGGGGGACAAAAAGGACCCCTGGAGGGCTGATGGTGGATTCAGGTAGCTTGAAAGAAGTAGAGAATGTATAAAAAAATGTATATTACTGTCAAATTTCTTTATTATTAACCTTTGATGTCTTTCTTTGATATCTTTGGTAATAGCTTAACATGTAAATAACATAATAACTAGCTTTTATTTATCATATATCAGGGGTTTTCATGTTCCTTTGCGTGTTGTTGACGTGTATGCATAGGTTCTCTCCGGGTACACCGGCTTTCCGGTCCAAAACGGCGTACGTCGGGTGAACGGGTGGTATGAAATCGGCCATGATGTGACCGGGGAGTGTGTGGCGGTTCATTTCCGCGTGGCCCCTTTGATGGACTGATGACCTGTCTCTTTAACCGGGGAGAGCTGGGATACGCTTCCCTGCCGGCCCGACAATAAATAAGCAGTATAGATGACTGATGGATGGATGGATGGATGAGTTACACATCCCATTTGGCCTGGGAACGCCACGGATGCGGAGCTGGAGAGAGGGGTGTCTGGATCCTTTTGGCCTCTCATTGTGGACAGGGTAAGCTACTTTGGGAGTTTGGAGGCAAGGCAACAACAATTCAGAATCTATGTCGTGTTCTAAACGCCTAAATATGATTTATCCTACAGAACAATGCATCAAAACATGATGAACGAGTTTACCCTATATGTGGTTTGCTGCTAATCCTGATGGGTGGAAGGGGAAAATAACCTAACCTAAATCACCCAACAGAAACCGTGGGACACTGTGTATGTGTGTCCGTGTGTGTGTCTGTGTCATACAGCGTACCATTGTTGCGTAGCAGCGTAGCCAAGCTGTGCACAAGGGAGGACTGGCCAGTGTGTGACAGAGCCATCCTGGAACATCCTGAAACAAGACAGCCTATGAATAACTAAACACCGACACTCAGCCAAATTAGTAACATTAACTTGTTCTTATTTCATTGCTCAAAACTCTGTTGTGGTAAATATATCGTTTCGGTAACTGGAAAAGCTACCGGTGCTCTAAGGTAGCTAGCATTGCTATTAAAAGAGCTATCGCAGCTAGCATCAGTTTGGCTAATTGGCTATCCCGGAAGCTGGGCTAAACACCTTACCCGCGCGGCGACAGCCCGGAAATGAACGGCTAACATCAAGGGCTGACTTCGACGCGTGAGTACCAAAGCATTGTAACTCGTGAGAGCGAAAATAGGTGACGTTTCAGGGGTCCCTAGCGGGTTTCATCGCACCCGTGCTCGGTGATGTTGACATTTTTTTTTTTTTTGTCACATGACAGGTTACGCGCTGCGGCCCCTACGGTGGCCCCGATGTGCCATAAAGCACTACCCCTCGAATAAAATGCACTTAATTTAAACATAGGGCGAAAAAAGTGCGACATAATCCAAAAATAGGATTTTTTTAAATGAATATTTAACATATCCATCTATGTCAAAAAGCACGTCTCGTTCCAGAAAAAAATATCCATCATATCTGCACAAAATTGAAGGCTTTTCGCGTGTATTGCAGAAAGCCGTGACTTGCTGTAAAACTAAAAGTAACCGCACGATGGCGCAATCCTAAAAGGAGCCTTGACTGAGCTTGCAGATGCAAAGTTAAAAATCAAATTTCTGCTCTTCCTCATTTCAGTCATTCATAACATGTATCCCTTTTGACTTGCTCTAGTTGTTATTCATGTTATTCTTTTACATCCAAGTGTTTAATCCTGGGCCTCCTGGTCCTTCGTCATTACAGACTTTGTAATTGTTAGGGCTTTTTTTAAAATCCAGCTGTCAGAGACTCTCTCCACATCTGGATGTGTGTCCGACTACACTCCGGTCCTGGAAGTAATCAAAAACAGAGCTCAGCGGGTTGTCCAAGTAGTATTATTTATGCATGCATAACGTTTTCTGGTCCTTGAATGAAGCAAATTAAAATCGAGTCTGATTTGAATTAGTGGGGCATTAACAGGAACACGGTTGTACTTGGAAATATTCATTTTCATGGTGATGTTTAAAACATCTTTACTGCAGTGGAAAAAGACTTATTGGTGAATAGCGAGAATGTTTTTTTTTTTCCTTCTTCTTGGACACGTTCCTCGATTGTAAAGAATTTAATTTTGAGACACAGAAAACTATTACATTCACATAGTACCCACCGCATTGCAAGCACATTGTAGCTTCAACTTTTGGGCTCTCCATCTGTAAAAAAAATCTCCAGTTTGACTCATTAGGAGCGGAACTTTCAGCAGGTCTTTATTATGTTTTTATTGGGGAATACGTAACAACAGTGTGGCTTCATAACAGATACCCCGACGGTGATCTGCATTAGCAAATAAAACAAGAACTTTCCGACCTTCCGCAAGCATCATTTGTTGCTAGGCGGCAAACAAACACACACACACACACACACATACGAGCGTTTGACAGAAAACACACTCGCGCGTAAGCGTTTTTTCCATTCAGGGTCCTGGCGAAGCGAGCGTTTCCATGTAAGGATTTATGTCCTGCAATTTGGTAAACATTTCCACTCGTTGAGATTGGCCGGGCCCACAGAGCGCTCTCATGCTTAGCTGTTTTTTTTCGCCGTGCGCGCATGAAAACCGACTCTTGACAGCTACGGCTGCACGGTGAGGTCACGGTCCTGCTATGCATCTGCCTCAAATGGGAAGTGCGCGCAGGGGTTTTTACGGTGCTCCTCTAATCATTGCGCATACACCACTTGATCTCCGTCAAATGAATCGTACATAAAAGAAAGGAAACCTCAATTGAGCGAGTAATCGAAACCAAACACTCGGGTGTCCGTCGGGGTATACGAACAAGACCGTATAGCGGAGTCCCGCTACGACCGATAAGAACTCGGTGAAGCACAAAACCATCTCCAAGTGATTGTGTTGGCTTTGTGGGTGTGCGTTTTTGGATTAAGAAACGGTCGTCAAGCCTTGGAAATCCAAAAGAAAAGCATACTTTAAGGACAATATGAGGGTCCGCGAGGCTTTTTGCGCGACTGGGGTGGTAAAAACTAGTCTAGTCAATTGCGCACCGTTAGATTATCTAGGAATGTCTTTATACAGATTTTCCTATGTACGGAATTATGAATTGGATCTTTACATCAGGTCCATTAGTGATAAATCGAGGGTTATAAAAGACCGAGCACGCTAAACCCGAGCTGTCATGTAGGACGGCGAGCTTGTGCGTATAAAGCCACCTCTGTATACCCGCCGAGGAACCGTACGCTCTTATGTATCTTTGGGTCATCGGGTGATCCCGTAACTCGCTCTCTATCAATGTGAGGTTTATCCAGAGTTTGTGTTTGCTCAACAATTCCGTGGGGAGGAATTGAAGCAACCGGCCTTGGGTTGGGGGATTCTTCTGCACACATGGGCTGATCCCGCTGCCTGTTTTCGCCCCCTATTAGCCAGCGACCATCCCAGACACAAATCCTCGCCCCCGGGGCCCGTATTTAGAAAATGCCGACCTTTCTTTCACTCTCTCTCACTCTCTCTCTCTCTCTGCTACCTCTTTTCCGTCCACGGTTTTGTAAAAAAATGACATATGAGGTTCTGGTGTGCAAACAAGCACTCCGAATACCCTCCGGACTCACACTCCCCCCCTTGAGATGCGGGGCGGCTTTAAATGCGCCCTTTCTCCGGGCTCCGCGCACCCAAGGTGAGCTTGGGATGCGGATGGCCAACGGGGGCCAAATAATATTAAATCAGGGAGGGGGGGGGAAACTAAATAATCTGGTTTTACATCCGCGGAGTTGGGTTACGCTCGCCGCTTCTATTTCCGGACCTTTGGACAAATATACCCAATCGTCTACCCTACCGGCAGTGGACGGACCAGGGGGGTGGGGGTCTAACGAGAGCTTGTTTTGTGGTATGGCCCGACACCTTCGAGGCTTGGCCTCGCAGATCGATTGGGAAACATTTACGGCGCGCATGCACAGAACCGCCGCTGTGGACGTGGGCGGCGTTTAATAGAGTGTCAATGGACGCCGCTGACCACTGCAGGTGGAGTACCGTCCACCCTAATGAATGCCCCGGCACATAGTCCTTTTTTTATTTACGCATTCTGGGCCGACGGCGCTGATTGAAACAAACAGGGGCAGTCTATGTATAGTAACCCCAAGTCTTTAAGGGTAAAAAAGGGGCTGTAATTGGGCCTTTTTCGAGCACAAACTCACATGTCTTCTCTCGAATATAGTCCGGCTTTACATTCAAAAGACTGTCGGGAAGCTACTGGCGACCAGAAAAGGGTCACCGTATCATGGGGAGATCTTTTCTTTTTCTTTGGGTTGATGTTTCTTAGCGCATCGCTCACCGAACGGAATTTGACATTTGAAATAAAGGAACAGTTAAAGGAGCATGGTGGCTGCTTGTATGGTCTTGGTTGTATGGTCTCTTTCTGTCTGAAGGATCTCTTTCCTTTCCACTGCTCTTCTTTCTTGTCACGTCTGGGGGAATTTTGTCCTGTCTCCATGTTGTCTTGTCACATCCTGGTTTATTTTGAAAGGTCCATCCACTTGTTTCAGGTCTCCCCCGTGTGTCACATGTCTGTTTGTCTTACCTGATTACCTATTGGGTTCAAATGGGGTTCCCTTTCCCTCATGTGTTTAAATAGTCCTCGTTTCCCCTTGTCTTGTGCCGGTGAGTTTCGTTATTTGTCTCTGTCTTATGACTTTACTGAGCCTTACGTAGTCTTGAACCTAGTCTTGAACCTAGTCTTGCCCCGCCCCCCATTTATGCCTCGTAAGAGAGTCTATTTTGTACTTTACGGTCTTGTTTTTTCCTCGTTCACGAGTGATTTTGATCTAATACTTTATTCTTCGTCTGGTTTACTTCATTTGGTACTTTGTTTCCACTCCCTGTGAGTGCGTTTTGGGTTCAAATAAACCTTTCGAACCAGCATCTGGGTCCGGTTTGAGTACCGAACCCGACAGTTCTTCCCCGTCCCTCTGTCAGGTTTAGGCATTATCGGACACACAAAAATGTGTGTAACAAAAATGAATAAATAAAGCAGTTTTGGGGGCTTCTCAATAACAAAGCCTCTCGCTTGGAAAAGCAAATTTGTTCGGCATAGCAAGGTTATTCAGATTTCAGTTCTGGACAAGGTAAAAAAAAAAAAAAGAAAAAAACTTAAATCTAAAATAAAAATAGGTGAAAATGACCTAAATGTATTATCATAACATTTGTAATAGAATGGTTGGGCATAAAAACCGTGTATGTACACGGATAACTGTAACATTCCTAAAAGAAAGGCAAGTTTGTTTGTGTTTATAAGCTGAAAATATGATCTTATTTGGGAGAAAAAGTGGTCTGGAAAAGTGGTCACCCCCCCTTTAAGATATTTTCTTTGTTTTAACTTATTCTCAGCAAAAGGATCAGACAGTGATCCTTTTCCTGATGTGTCCTAACCACTTCAGGAAAGAGTTTCGAGTCAGTCTGAGAGAATTATGTATCCCGGGATGCGTCACGATCATAATTTTTTTTTTAATTTATTTATTTATTTATTTCCTCCAATCCAATCATCACCCACGTGTGGCAAAAAAAAAAATCTGGGAATTTGTAGGACCCAGCAGACCTCTCTCAGCCCCGGGCTTCACCTGTTCGCAACACACACACACACACACATATCCAGACACACACACACATACCCCCACCTTTTTTTTTTTTTTCTTTTTTTTTTTGGGAACTCGTGGATTGCTTTTCGATCGCCTCCGCGATAACGATTGACCAAAAACAAAAAAGCCTCCAGCCCGCGGTGACCACCACCACCATGATGCTCCCGTACGCCGGCTGCTGCAGCCTGCTCTTACTCTCCGCGTCCCTGGCCGGAGCCTCCCTGGCCGAGATGGTGTTCCGGTGCCCGGGCTGCACCGC